ACAGATTCCATTGTTCATTCATGTACTCATATATTTGTTCAGCAAATCTATCAGATACACCCTCAACTAGAGAGATAAGCTGAGGACACAGTAACAGGAGAGACATATTGTCTGTGCTAGTGAGGGGTTGAATCAACTGGTTTTTATTTTGTTTTTGTTTTTTTCAGTTCTGGGAATTGAACCCAGGACTTCACCCATGCTTGGCAAGCACTCTACCACCAAGCTATACCCCCTAACTGTTTTTGGTGATGCAGGTTTGTTTGATATGACTGTCAAAAGTCAAATATTAATGTAAACAAATCCAGCAAGATATTTTCCCTTTCTAGTATTAATTTCTCTTCTTCATACCCCCTCATCAGGAGCTAATATCTAAGCTGATAAGAATCCCTAATGTTTTTGTCCATTGATGCTGCAGCAGACTTTTCTGTTTATATTATACTTCAAAACTGCAGTACCAGGATGGCTTGTTAAGTGTATTTACTAAAGCTAGATCAATATGTAGGGAAAAGTTTTCATGACAGGCATAAAAATCATAGGCTCCAGGTATGTTCTAATGAATTTGTCCAGGGAATTCCTTCCAAATCACATCCCTGGCAATGCAGTTTTCTTCAAGTACATAAAATTGCCTTTTCATTTGAATAATTTTCAGTTGTTAAGGACCAAAATATTTGTTGTTGTTGTTGTTGTTTGTTTATAATAACAGGAAATACCTCTCCTTGAAGAATATTTTAGGTCTGACACTTAAAAAAAAAAAAAAAAAAAATTCTCTCCTTACTGCCATCTTGTGGACAGAGATGATATCTTCAGAGAGCACATAGGAACATGTCTTAGTATTGCCACAAGATGGCAGCACATAACCAAGAAGTGCCAAAAATTTAACTTATAACTTATTTGTATTTCTAAAATATTTCAAGGAGAAATTGAATTCTCCCTGAATTTTTTCTGATAATAATTTCTCTATAGAGTGAAGTAGTTGAGAATGTTTTTAAATCTTTATTTTATGTAGGTCTTTGTATTCAATTGTGAAATATCTGCCTCTAACATATCATCTAGAGGTTACAACCCATTCCAGTGACTGGGTCATCGGGGCACATTGCCACTTCTATTCTGAACAAAGTTCTGCCTGAGCTATCTGCTTTTTATCACTTTTTTGTGTGTGTCCCTAGTGTTTTGTGTATCCTAGTGCCACAACAGATTTATTTTTATGTGCACGCTCTTGATGTTTTAGAATTGCACTATCATGGCTTAATTTATTGGGATATCTTTTTCTCTTGCCACAGAAATTGCACTAATAATCCTCTGTAGAAGATATTTTACCATAGAACTGGCAATAATACCTCTATGTAAGCACTTACTAGGTGTCTGGCACCATTCCAAGAAGAGCATATAGATTAATTTATCTAATCCACGGCACAGATTTCTAAGGGTTAGCTTTACTAAACTAATTTTACAGAAGATGAAACTGAGGAAAAAAAGAGGGTAAGAGATGCTTTCTAGCTTAAGCAGAATCATTGGCCTCCCTGCCTGACCCAGTTCCTGCATAATCCCTTGACATTTGTTCTGTTTAGATATGAGGTGTCTCCCAAAAGCTCATGTGTGAGACAGAGCAAGAATTTTCAGATGTAAAATTATTAGATCAGGGGAATTCTGACTTATCAGTGGATCAATTCACTGATATTCATGAACTGGTTGGTTAAGAGTAGGCAGGTAGGGTATGGCTGGAGGAAGTAAGTCCCTAGGGGTGTGACTTGGGGATTTTTAGTTTGTCCCTGGTGAGCAGAGTTCTCTCTGCTTTCTAATTACCATGGCCTGAGCTGCTTTCCTCTGTCAGACCCTTCCACCATAAAGTTCTGCCTCACCTGGGCCTAAGAGCTATGGATTTGACCCACCATGGACTGAACCTCTGAAATTGTGAGCCTAAATAAACTTTCCCTCCTCTGAATTGTTCTGGTTAGCTCTTAAAAGCTGACTAAAGCAATATTGTTTCCACTGAAGCCTGTGGAGCTAATAGAGAGCATGGGGAACTTGGTGGTCTTTATCTGAAAAAGGTTCCATTGAGGATTTAGACCCCTTTGAGTAAAGATTATCAATCTGTTGCCTGAATGGTCCCTATAAATTCTCAAGGATACTAAGACAAGAGTTTTGGCCCAAGAAAGGAGAGCTGCACTTTGCACAAGAGCAGACCCTTTTTGTCCAGTATTGCATCATTCAAATGTCCCAGCAATACTGCTAGAGTTATAGAGGACTTGCTTTTTTTTTTTTTTTTTGGTACCTGGGAATGAACTCAGGGACATGCAATCACTGAACCACATCCACGGCCCTGTTTTGTATTTTATTTAGAGACAGAGTCTCACTGAGTTGCTTAGCGCCTGGCTTTTTGCTGAGGCTGGCTTTGAACTCAGGATCCTCCTGCCTCAGCCTCCGGAGATGCTGGGATTACAGGCTTATAACACCACTCCCAGCTGAGGCCTCGCTTTTATACAAAAAAAATGCCAGAGGGTATGAGAGAAAAATGTACTAGGTTCTAGTTAGAGAACTGGGAATAGTGAATTTCAGTCCCAGTTCTGCCTTTTGCTATCTGTGTGATCTGGGCCTCAATTTCTTCATACTAACATGAGCACATTCTCAGCTATGCCTTTCCAACAATTTTGAAGGAAATATGTTAATTTCAAAGTAAAGGTGTCAAAAAGGTATGAAGAAAGAAAATTAGTGGGAGTATGTTTGAAATACAGTTGAAACGTTTGTGGTTGGATGATGAGACCTACAGAGAAGGCTGTCAATATCAGACATCAGTATTCTATATATTGAGAGATCCTGGCTTCCCATTTCAGGGTACTTATGGCAACCATTGCTGGCTTCTGCCAGGGAAGGACAATTCTTACTCAGTCCTGTATGAACTTGCCTTGTGTTGCATCTGTCAACTGGAATATCTTCAAGTAGCATAGTTCAAGGACAGAAAAGCAGGTGCTAACATATTTGAACATCCTCAAAGCTCCACCAGTAATCACAATACAGAAAAACATCCTCTTCCACATCTGGTCAGTTTAGGGAAACTGTCCTTACCTGCAGACACCACCAGCTCTTAGGAACTGTGAGTCTGACTGGCACTAGTTTTGCTAATGCTACACTGTAGCCAAACACTTTCAGACTTGAGACACTAGGACAATCTTTCTGTTCTTTATAGTTATCATAAGAATGCCAGAAAATATTATACTTCTGTGACCTACTTTGGATGGACAGATGAAAAATGTATGAGGAAGGGGATTCATAGGTTGCACTGAACCTTGGAGTCTTTACAGACCTGGTCTCTCAGTGCTAAATCAGTATAAATAATTTAGCTCCTCAGATTCCCATGTTTTTAGGTTAGAAGGATGTTTGGCATATATTTGTTCTTCTCATGCTTCAGGGATTCTAGATCTTCTGTTTTTGGACCACTGTGCATTCAGAGTGTCCATCATGCACTGGCTTGATTACAACAGCCCACAATAGCAGACACAGCCCCTGCCTCCAGGGACTCAATGTCCAGTGGGGAAGACAGACATTAATCAAAGCATTAGACAAGCACATTTGAAGTTAAGTGAAGTGCGTACTATGATAGGAAGCAGAACTTATAATAAAGTTTTATCAGGGAGGTCAGGGAAGATTTCCCTGTGGAAGTGAGAACCCAGTTCTGAAGGAGGCGTGAGATTACTAGTGGAGATATCACTGGGCCATAAGCCCGATGGCAGAGAAAATATCGTGCCAGAGAGAACACAGGAGAGAGTTGGAAAAATGATAGATGTGGATGAGGCTGGAAGACAGGGGTGCTAGGGAGAGCCATAGGAGCCATGATAAGGATTTTGATCTTTACCCTTGAAGCCACAAGAAAGCTTGAACAAATTTCAAGCAGCACTGTAGGGTGACCAGATGTCCAATTAAAACATCTTTCTCTGGCTGAGGAGCCCATCACTTTTCATCTTTAGTGAAATCATGTTACTCGGTTGTACAGGGCTATCTCCTGAGGTTCACAGAGAACAATGTCTGGGCCCTACAGCCAGTTTGGGCTACTATAGTTAACTAATCATTGAGTCGGTCCTCAGATTCAAAGGGATAAGGAAATGTTACATATTTATTTCTAATGATGCAAGATTATTTGGGGTTATTTGATAAAGATACTTAAAAGGGAATCCAAATATTTTATCCATATGATCTGATTTAACCTTGACATTTATTGACACATGCTACAAATATTTATTGAAACCTACTGCACACCAGGGTCTAGTCTAAGCATTATGGATTCAGTGGCTAACAAGACATACACTGTGCTGCCCTCGGGGAGCATGTATCCTAACAGAGGAGACATACCATAAACCAGCAGAGAAGGAAATGTGGAATGTGATGCCAGGTAGAGATCACTGTCCTTAGATGAGTCAAGCACCTTGAAGAAATAGAGAAATAACAGAGGATACAAGTTTTGAAAAAGTGATGGGAAAATCCCTCCCTAGTTGGTGAGATTTCAGCAGAAATCTAAATGAAGTGACTGTGAGACCTGAGGAAAAAGCATTTCAGGCAGAAAAAACAATGAGTGCAAAGGGTTCAAGGTTGGAATAGACTTTCCTGTTAAAAGAGCAAGAGGCCAATCGACTTGAGTGGCATGAACCGAGAGCAAAATGGTAGGATGAGGCTGGGGACCAGACAGTCTATGGTTGCATTAAATTGCAGTCAAGGGTACTTTTACATTCCATACTCCAGGATCCTCACATTTGTCTACCTGCACAACATGTAGCATCAAGAATACATATTGGCAAACTACTTTTGCCACGTCCAACTGCACAACATTTGTTTTAACATAGCAGTCTCTATTTGCCTTTTATTCAATTTCTACCAATCTCTATTTCCACTAAAGTGTTCTTTCTGTCTTCTCTCATTCTCCTTTCAGTGGAGAGTACGAGACTACCATTACGTTCATTTCAATTGATAAAACTTTTTGGTTTTGTTTCGCTAAAATGTTTCTTTTTTAGAAATTGGCACCACCGTGCACTTCAAGCAAAAAGGTATGGTTTTTATTTCAAATTACCTTCTAAATGTTAAAATTAAGATTTCACAGGAATATATTGTGGTCTTATATACTTGAGTTTATTTCACTTCAGTAATTTGCAATAATAATTTCCATAGCACATTTAGCACTATTTGTTTTTCCAAGTAGTAAGTTTTCTTCTTTACAAAAATTCCCTGGTCCAACCCGTAACCCCTGTATTGCTTTTGATACTCATTCACTTTTAAATACCTGAAACCCAGCTAGTTATTCTATACCCTGCTCTCCCCTTGTCCCTTACTGTCCATGGTTAGCTCTTGCAGAGCTGATTTTTTTTTAATAGTAGCTGCTTAATGACAAGTGCTCTTAGAAGACACCCAAAGTCTATTTTACAGTCACCTGTCTGTCAGATATTCAAGTAAATATGTTGCTAAATATAACATCTAGATATCAAGTAGATATCCAGATATCTCTTAAAATGAAACACGTGAGCGGTGAATATTTCCTCCTCTCTCATCATTTTCCCAGGTCTTTATAAAGCCTCATGATGCTGCAGTACACCTGGGCTAGTGGGTCCTCCCAGGAAAGCCTTGTGATGCCCTCCTACTGTCCCATGGCCACCAGCCATGTGACATATCATGCACATACTCATCTCTACAAGGACAGGGCAAGCAGATCAAAGCTGCATAAATGGATCCAAAATGCAAACAATTACTATGTCTGCAGTGCCCCCTGCACAATGGATAATCCCCAAAAGTTTGTAACCCCAGACCAGAGCCACAGAGGCACATATGTGGCCGGGCACCACACTCCTCGAGTCCTGTGGTCACACACTTGATTGGTAATTGTCTCATAGGAAGGTGTCCTCCTCTCTGAATCTCAAAAAGGAATGAGACAACCAAGATCACTTACAATAGTGAGAAATCATTTTTGTGGGCTCCAGGCCTTCCCAGCCTCCAGAAGCCACAGAGATTATAAGGACTGTGGTGCTTACTCCCACAAAAGGTCCAGCACCTTGTTTATGGCCAGTTCTAGCCTGTTCTCACAGAAGGCAGCAGGAAAGAGGCAGCCAGGAATATATACTTGGGAAGAGCATTATCTGAGGCAAAAAGGCACAAACTATTGTCTTCTTCTGCTCTTCTCTCCCCAGTGCTATGATTACCAAATTACCATTTACATTTGAATCTAACTTGCCTAGTGCTGTTATGTGATACCTTAGGGCTTTGATGTGGATGATGACATAGGCATAGTATTTTTCTCTTAATTTCAAAGATCATCAAGATAAACTGCCAGCCAGGGGTGGTGGCACATGCCTGTAATCCCAGCAGCTTTGGAGGCTGAGGCAGGAGGATTGGGAGTTCAAGGTCATCCTCAGCAAAAGTGAGGGGCTAAGCAACTCAGTGAGACCCTGTCTCTAGATAAAATACAAAATAGGGCTGGGGATGTGGCTCAGTGGTTGAATGCCTCTGAGTTCAATCCCTAGTATGACAAAAAAAAAAAAAAGATAAACTTCCAATGTCACCAAAAGTAGGACCTGAAAGTTTTTAAACTGGGTGTGCCATATATATGATGCCATTTTGATGGGAAAGATGTTATGATTCCAGATTTACTATGAGACTAGTTCAGTCCACCAAAATCTCACTTTATAGAGGGTGGAGAAAGTGCATGAATGGCCCAGATTTAATCCTAAAACCCAGGGCTCAAAGAGAAAATCAGTATTTTCCTTCCTCTAATTTGCTCCACCCTGGTGATTATAGACTTTAATCCAAAATTCAATCACCCAGGTGAAGTGGTACTGGCAGAAAATGGACAGCAGGTGGCGCCAAAGTCCGTCTTCTCATTCTTCCCTATCGACATGGCTTCCCAGGACCCCAGCGTGCCTTAATTTGCACACCTAGATAATATCAAAGATCCATACTTGGGAGATTCTGTAGATTATTGCTCTCCTTCGTTTAACAATTGTTTTATAAGTTGTTTATGCTTTTATTTTATTTTCAGTCACATATATATATATACACACACACGTGTGTGTGCGCGCGTGTGTGCGTATGTGTGTGTAGGAATAAAATATGCCTAATTCTGACTCCTTCATGGCTGAAAAGAATTCCCAAGGATCATTGATGGCATGTTGAAGACCACTTTGAATAAATCTAGTCCTAAATCCAGGAAATGGGCCCTAAGGACTCAGAAGAAGCAACAAAAAACTGTTGGTCCAATTTGAATTACAAAGTATCTGCAAGCACACACACTACAAAACAGGTGGTGAAAAACCACCTGTCCTTTCTTTGAGATTTTGCTGAAAGACAAATGAATTGACTGAGTATCCTACATCAGATTTGTAGTGTAGAGACTGGTCAAAAAAAAAAATTCTCATAACCCTCAATTTCTGGATGTTTTATCAATCTTGCCCTGAATTACAAATTTTGCCCTTTTTTAAGCATTGATGTGGCAAAGCACAATCCAGTATTCATCTTGGCACAGTCTCACTTACCTTACCAGGTTGAGAATCTTGACCTAGTGTGTTGACTCATGGCTTACAGTGTTGCTGCAGCTGCATTGTGGCCCTGATGGTCAAACATTAAAGCCTTGACCCCATTCACAAAACAATACCTTTAATTCAGGTTGGTATTTTATTCATTTTTGTAGCTTGAACATCTGTGTCAATAATAATAATAATGCTACCATGTAATGAATATTTATCAGAAACCACACATTTCGTGTACATGCAAACATATAACACATATGTACAATGTGGTTAACTATCAAGACATGATATTTGTCTGTTATGTGAAAAACATGTAGCAAGTTTTTATATTGTGGTTCTATTTGCCCATCTATTCTTAAGGCTAATTTATGTTTGCAGACTCTTGCTTTCATTATATCTGTCAGTATATGAAAGCACTTGCTGAGCTTGGCCATCTGGCATGGGAAATAAGATTTATCATTTGCATTTCCACAAATAAGCAGAAATTTTGTAACTATGAACTAAAACATAATTAATGATTTTGCTGATTATTCTTCCCTGAAATAGCCATTAACTGAAGTAGTCTCCTATGCAGTCATATATATCCATAATTGCATACGCACTTGTGATGATTCCCCAACTATCACGCGCTTACCCTGGTATTTCTCAAGTCTGTTTACTCTCAAAATCAATTATCACAAGAGCAAGTCACATAAGCCATCAAATAGCTATATGAAGGCACTTAATGAATAATAATTGATAGAAATGAAGATACTTTAAACAAATTCACACGGTGCATTTCAAATATATAATGACATTATGAAGGATAAAATGAAAGATTATTAACATAATCACATTGGAATTTCCTATTATAATACAGAATAAAATATGAAGGTAACAAGTAATTATGTATTATATGTACTAAAAGACCAATAATATAAGTGTATATATAACTATAATGTAGATATTTCTCTGTGTGTATATATATAGATGTACATATATGTATATATAGATTCATTAGTAAGAATGTTACGTTTGAGCATGCTTATTCAGATTGATAACTTGCTGAGAGTCTTGCTAAATTTGCTGAGGCTGGCCTCAAACTTTCGATGCTCCTACCTCGGTCTCCCACGCTGTAATTTTTGCTTTCTTAAATATTTACTCCCATTTGAATAAAATGATAAGACTAGTCTTGTTAGCTTTCCCCAGATACCATTCAGTTCCCAGATGTCAGGAAAACAATTGAGCCTGACTTAATGCTACAAATTAGATTATGGAAATAAGCAAAATTGGACTTTTTCTGAAAACCCTTTTCACACTATCCCTGAGGCAAAACAGAAATTGCTTTTGCTTTAATCTGTAGGACCTTAATGTGTGTGTAGTTTTTTTGTTTGTTTGTTTTGGTTTTGTTGTGTTTTTTTTTTTTTTTTTTTTTTTAAAACTCACGGATGCAATACTGCAAACAAATGTGCCAATAATCTCATCTCGCCCTGTGTATGCAGAGGGTTTAAAACATTGCTGCCAGGCCAGGAGACTGGGGAGTTTTCTTGAAGAGAGTTTGAAGGTTCTCAAAGTCCATCAGGTGTAGGGGGGAAGACATGGAGAAGGTGGATAGGGAAGGACAATGAGCTGAGCCTCAGGACACCTGGACTCCAGCACTAGTCCGCAAATGCTAATCAGGTGCCTTATGCAGCATATATAATCTTGAACCTGAAATAGACCTTTTGATAATATGATCCCACAGCTAATCAGAAAATCAGACAATTAGTTGGTTGATTAATTTGTTTTTATTGTGCCTTCATAGCTTTATATGTGATAAGCTCATTTTACATAGTACTTATGCTGTTCCAAATTTGTACATGTTCATATTTTTAAATTAAATAATATTGTCAATATTTTCAAGAAGGCATTTTAGCCAAAAATATTCTTTCAAAATCATTTTTTGCAAAAATAATGGATGTTCCCCCTTTAGTTTCTGTTTGTGCTGGCTGTCATTTTAATCAAGCCCAAGTTTCATTTCTCAAATGTTTGACAGAGACTCACCAGAGTACATGGCCATTGAGCCACACAGTGTCCTGGTGTCAGGCAACACCTCGGAACCAGATGCAGGTTAGAAACCTCAGCTTCTCTGCTGACAAGTGGTATCAACTTTTACCATGGACTTAATCTCTCTCTGCCTCCATTATTTCACTGGAAAGTGTGTTTTATTCTAATGCCCATCCCATAGCACAGCTGTGTGCTTTTATTTATTAAGAATTTATAACAATACCTTGTAGTGAGTGCTGCATAATCATTTGCTGGGTTTGTTTTATTGCTATTGCTTTTATTATTTGCATAAAACATAGATTAGGAGGCCATTCTTGAATTCAGCATTTTCCTGTTAGCCTACCTTCAATCTGGTATGTTTGTAAACAGTTTGGGGAAATTCACATACCAGAAGATGCTTCCATTGCACTTGCAAATCACAGATTTACACACATTACCACACACATTGATCTGCATATGTATTCTAAAAACTTCAAATTACAGTCCTACCAGTTTCTTTTTTGAATATCATTGTGGAGCTATGTGGCTTTTAAAGCCAGTCTCTGCAGTGAAAGTGTTTTTATTTCCTTTATTGGAATATGAACAGAACAACACAAAAGGAGAAGATGGACACACAAAGCTTAGGAGACACACTCCTGAGTTGAATCCACAAATTCTGCCCCAATCCTATTCTTGCCACCATAACACAAACCCCTTCTCCTCCTTCCTTTCCTCCCGCTTTCCCTCTCAGACCCACAGTCACATCCCCAGTTACACTCGGGTGGCAGCAGGGAATACAGCTGCCATGCCAGGCTCAATCCTGGGTGAGTTCAAATCAGTTCTGCTCCAGGTTTGAACCTGCTTCTAAACCCCCCAGGTTTGGGTGGGTTGTTTGTAGGTTTTGATTTTTAAAAGATCAGTGAAGAATCTGGGCAAGATGATCCCTGCTTCCTCGTAAGACTATACAGTGTTTCTGCCTTGATAAGATGCCACCCATCCATAAAGTTTCTTGGTTACAATGCCCCTCCCAACTGACAAATAATTAGTGCTTCTCCCCCAAGGAACAAGGGAGTCAGGGGGCAGCTCCAGGTTTTATTGATGCTGTGAAAAATTGACAGGAACAGCCCACACGGGCTGGTGAAGTACCTTCGCCAATGCATCACCTGGGGCAGAGCATGCAGGAGGAGGCTGGGTGAACAAGAGCCTGTAGCACCGCCAGACAGCAGTGACAGCCAGCTTAAGGACTGCTTCAGCAAGAGCACTTTGTATGTAGAGGCAATTCAACAAATGATACCTCTTAACTTACTTGGACCTCAAGGAGGACAAGGATATAGGAAAGGTTTTCAGCCCTTCCCGGGCTGCATGTAAGAGCACTGACATTGTGGCCTCAGTCCTGGCTAGGCCTCACCTCCGACAACATCAACAGTCAGCTGTGACCTGGATTGGTCAAGATGTAACTTCTCTTTTCTCTCTCTCCTTTTATTGTTCTGCAGGACCTGGGTCGGTGAGAGGAATAAATGGATCCATCAGTCTGGCCGTACCACTGTGGCTGCTGGCAGCATCTCTGCTCTGCCTTCTCAGCAAATGTTAATAGAATAAAAATTTAAAAATAATTTAAAAAACACACAAAAATGCGTCACACAGGATACAGAGAGAGAGTGGGAGAGAGAGAGAGAGAGCGCGCGATGGGGGGAGACTGTTTATTTCACAACTTTGTGTGTTTATAAATGAAGGGGGGAAATATGAAAATGAAGACGAAAATACAACATTGGAAACAATTTTAAAGTCCATCAATAAAAATTTGGTATGATCAGGGTGGGAAAAGCTCTATCAGGATGTGTGTATATCTACTAAGGAAATGAATGCCGTGCTAAGGACATCCAGATGTTGTAAAAACAGGACAAGTAAAGAAGTACCAGATGGAGACTGACTCCCCCACGCACACTTATCCTTCCTTCCTTCATCTTTCGTCATCTGTGGGGAAAAAAATAAGGTCTTGCCTTTGGTGTTATACTTCCATAACTTTCTATTGTGTTTTCCATTCAAGCTGACCTGTAGCCATTTCAGACTCTCCATAGAGTCTTATGTTCAGCCTTTTATCGGACTCTCTTGCCTCTGCTATCTCTCCAACTTTTGAGATCATCCCCTCTCCCTCCAGAGTGTTCTATCTCCCATGCTCATTCCAAATAGTCCCTTTTTGCCCACCCACCCCAACTCTCTTCACCCCCTCCAACCGCCCCCTGAGCACCAATCACGCCGCAAATGCTAGGAAGTGCCATTTTAATTTTCTCCACTGTGTGCGTGTGCTCAAGTCTCTCCCTCTCACGTGGGTGTACATGTGTGTGAGCGTGTGTGTGTCTCTCTCTAAAGCATGCCAAGGGAATGGTCCATGTGTACATAGACTCATCGTGCTGTAGATACTGTCCTGCATTGTAATTGTGAGATGCGGCTGTAACCAGTTGCTGGGGGAGATGGCAGGGAGGGAGGCAAGGAGCAGAGGCCTCCCCTGTCCACGCCTGTCACATGACATCAGTGTGTATTCAAACCAAGTTGTGCCCCTTCCAAGGGCAGGACCCCATATTCCTCCCAATCCCATCATCAGAATCTAGTCAGGAGTCACTCAGAATATCACTGTAAATGAAAGTGCCTACCATTGATGGGGTGAGCAAACAGTGGGGAAAAAAAAAATTAGTGATGGGGATGAAATGGCCTAGGAGAGAAGGTTTCTGATTTCACTCTTATTTCATGAGTTTGAGGGATTCATATGTTTTCCGGTGTTTAACAGGCTGAGCCCTGCTCTGCTGCAGGGCTGATCAACATATATTGAACAAATCCCCAGAAACAGAAAGTGTTATCTCCCATCTGGAGAATGATGAGCCACATGGAGATCCTAAGCAATCCTGTTTTGCCTCCTCCCTAACCTTCAAATAACATGAATTTGCCCCATGGATCCCCCTGAGCAGAGATTGTTTCCTCTTTCAGATCAATACAGTGAGAGTGAGCAAGACAGGCAAAGTAGACAGATGCCCAAATCCCATCCCATGTTCTGAAGATACTGTCAGAGCATTAAGAAAAAACATTGGCTATACCAAAAGGGAATTCACTCCTTAAGATCCTTTGCAGATTTTTGTTCTGATGTTCTTGGCTAACTCTTGATTTAGCCATGCATGTCATCCCCCTGCTGCTGTTCCACTGATATCTGTAGGACCACACTTTTTTTTTTTTTGGTACCAAGGATTGAACCCAGAGGCACTTAACCCTGAGCCACATCCCCAGCCCTTTTATTATATTTTATTTAGAGACAGGGTCTCACTGAGTTGCTGAGGCTGGCTTTGAACCCCCAATCCTCCTGCATCAGCGTCCCAAGCCGCTGGGATTACAGGTGTGTGCCACTGTGCCTGGCTGTAGCACCACTCTTCTTGATGATTCATCATTATCCTAGACCAGACCACTAGAAATTGCATTATATTCACCTCTCCTGCTCTATTTAAATTTATGTCTCTGAGAATCATCTGGATATTCACACTGAAATAAGAGCTCATTTCTTCACCAGAAGATCTGAGCAACTTGTAATTAATTTAGGCAGAAAGTGTCTGAATACCACAAAGCTTGGCATTACCGCATCACCATAGGTCTTACAGGGAGAGCTGGCACTCTGCATATAGACTTCTTTGTCTACATGAAACCAACTGCTGTTAGACTATAGGATGCACTGGAAATGGTCAGCTCATGATGGGGAAGAGGATTATTGTTGAGGTCATTATTGAAAGCAGTCCCACAGAACAAATGTGGCAGCTCATCAAGTTTTCAAATCTTGATAATAGCTGAGACATGATATTAAATGAAAAACTTCATTAGCAGAAAGAGGAAGGAAGGAAAGAAAGAGAGAAGTAGGGAGAGAGAAGGAAGGAAGAAAAGAAGGGAGGGAGGGACAGATCTGAGAATATTTAAAAATCTCTTCTAGGTGGTTCTATGGTTTGTTTTGGATGCATATCACATTCTTCTTTTAGGATTTTGCTGTTTAGAATTGAAAACAGAGGACAAATTGGACATGGCAGTAAGAGTACTTATGGCAGATCGTGAGATAGGGCAGAAATTCTTATCCAAGAAGGCAGCTAGTCAAATACAGGGAAAGTGAGCCATACTCCTATGCAGCATCAATTTATTGACAATCAGGGATTTCTCTAACAATTTGGTCTTCTTTGTACAGGAACAAAGGTTATTACCTTTGATGGTTGAAGAAGCTGTCATACCCTTAAGTAGAAACCAAGAGAGCACATGGTGATTGAAAGATACAGGAAGAGAAAAAGAGCAGGAATTGATTTCAGTACCATTCATTATCAGTTTCAGGAACAGAGCCTGTGGCATATTACAAGCTTTAATGCCCAGCAGGCCTTTTTACTGTTTCTACCTTATCATAAGGACCAGGTTAGTGGAAGGAGCATGTCCATTGGAAGAAATGTCTTGGCCATTGCTCTCTTGGTTTTTAACATGGTGGACCATAAATTAAACATACATTTTCAAAATATGGTATTTGCCTATATCTAGCAGGATCTGGGATTTGCAAAACTTTGCTACTTGCTCCTCTTTCATCATTGGCCCTAGAAATCTCATAAGTTTAACAATGTCTCTAAGTAACTTGGGGAATGGAGGGAAAGATAGATTGGAGAAAGTCTCAACACAAGATTTCTTGGAATTGAGTTCATCATATTGCCATAACTTCCTCCCCCAACCCCCAGCATCTTGTCCTTTGATAATCAAAGCACTGAAAAACACCAATTATTTGGAAATACCATATTGAGAGAAGTGGAAAGCATCTAATAATGTTAATGGCTAATACATTTTGCATGCTTTTCATACAAAGTGAAACTCTACCATTCACAAAATAAGATCCTTAGCCCCAACTTTCAGTGATGTGGAAATTACCTTGACCCAGGGACTTCTTGAAGGATGAGAACTAGCCTAGGTTTCACAACTGCAGAATTGTAATTAGACTCTCTGTTCAATTCTTCATCAAGAGTCCTTGCTTTATTGGAGGACTTTTTTGTTTTTGTTTGTTTAAGATATAAAATCCCTCTGTCCTAAAAGAACTAAGGCATATGGAAAAGTGGATGTGTTTTCTGTTGGGAAGGATTGTTCTATTGGCCTTTTCCAGAAGAATTCTTGAACTTGAACTCTCCCTTGCTATGGGCTTTTTAAAAATAATAATAATAATAATAATAATAATAATAATAATTATTATTATTATTATTATTATTATTATTATTATGTGATCAGACAACTGGGGCTATTTATAGAGACCTTGTAAAAGTACTCGTGATTTTCATGTTCTTGGAGGGCAGAAATAAAAATCTGTTTCCCCTCCAAAAATGGACTTACCTCCTTTGCACATAAAGACAAAACTCCTCAGCATAAAATGATTTGAGTTGTTACCCACCAAGTTGTTAACCTTCTTATCTAGAGTTGCAGGCACAATCCTGAACTGATTAGGGCTCCACCATTTCTTTGGGTTCGTCTCCCTGAATTCCTCATTTTGTTCTTTGCAGGCTTTGAATTATTTGTGGAAAAATAATATATGTGTGTATGTATTTTTTTTAATCTTATCTTTACAGATGCTATATTTACAATAATGTATGTATTATAAGAAAAATTTAGAATAACAGCTTAAACTTAAAAGAAGAAAGTGCAGAATTTGGTTTATTTAAAGAAAAAAAGAGCTATGTTTCATAAGGAAAGGCATGGAGCCCCATTTTTTTCCCACTTTTAAATTGTTTGCTGACAGATCAAATACTATGGGAATAACCATGTCCTCATTTTTTTCTTCATCTTTGTAAGCTTTTAGCCTGGATTTAGTCTTGGTCCCCAGTAAGTATCAATTTCTACAGCGAGTGTAATGCTGTATCTGGCCTAAAAACTATTAAACATTTTAAGACAAATAAGCAGACCACAAAAATAGTGAGATAAGACCCTGAGTTAAGAAGCACAAATCTAGTTTAGGAAACCCCATTCTTTCTTCAGTATTTAAAATATTTCTCCTCCAAAGACCAATTGCCCCAGTAATGTAAATTTTCCATCATGGTTGGCACCCTATCCATAAACATCTCACTAAATGCAAAATGGAGTTTACATTTATGTGCATACTAGTGGAGGAGAAGTAAACTATTCTCATTTGCATTTAGCTATGCTGTTCAAATGTCGCCAACTGAAATTCAAAAAAGAATTTGTTTTCACCCAGCAAAGTACATCACTTTCCTCTTGGCAAGGAAGCTGGTGTTAACATTAGGTTTAGGTTTAACATTTACACCAGCGAATGTTTATGGATATTGTGGGAAACGTATTTTAAAATCTTGATTTCTTTTCAGCGCATTTACATACTGTGTGCTGATTAATAAATTAGGGACCAATCATGTGTAAATCAATGTAAATCACTAGTTTATGTACATAATACAAACGATGTAAACTTCATTTTTCATGCAGAGGCCAAGTTCAGCTAAACCCATAAATCTTAAAGGAAAAAAAAAATCAAATAAAGTAAAACCAAAGCAAGTCACAGGTCAAAATGGGAAGAAGTAGGAACAGAATGCCCAAACGCAAGGTTGTCTCAGCCAAAGGAAGTAGAGGACAGGGGCACCTACAGGTTTCCATGATGATGCAGTCACAGTTAAGGGTTACCTTCTTGTTCCTTCAAGACATAAGTGCAGATTCTCCCAGCTGTCACCATAATTTTCTCACGGGATCCCCCAGCAAGGGAGTAAAGAGTAAGAGAGTGTTTGAGGGCTCCTGGGCCTATTTCATCAGCTCTCAGGCATCTGGTTATTTCTCCCTCACCCCAAATCCAAGGAAGTCAGCCATACCTTGGTGAGCACAATACTACCCAGTTTCTGTTACCCACTCAATAAAAGCATTGGGAAAGCTTCTCTGTCATCTGAATTCTAATAAATTGTTAGGTAGAAGAAATAGGTGACATCCTTGAGAAATATCTTGGTGAGTCATCTTCGAAAAAATAACTGCCTTTGCTTTATCTAATACTCTTGTGTTCCAACACATCTATACTGAATTCTACAAATAAAGGACAGAATCACTTCGTTTTGGAGTCT